TGTCCAAGAAAAATCCAGGACCTGCTCTGGATGACTCAGAAGTTCAAACCCTTGTGGATGAGTCACTGAACCAGGGCCTTTTATTATTATGCCACTGGAGCCCTTAATGTCGTAAAAGGCACATAAAACAGAGATTCTGTTCAATGAATGCATTTTCTATTTGCAAGACTCAGGTCAAATATGCCAATGTTTTATCCCAATTTCAGGCAATCCTTTCTCTTATTTCACTTCAACCCTATCTTTGCATTCTCCCCCTCCATTTTAATGTTACATGCTAGATTGCTGTGAAGGGTCAGAGAGACCTGTTAATTAAAACATGTTGTGTTATGGTCATGCTTTGGAGCACCCACTGGCTGACAAAAGGTTAAACAGGACACCATTAGCCATGGCATTTATTCAATCTGTTGTAGGAGGTTTCCCTGTGCACCCCTCTACAATATTTAACAGCAGTGAGCAATGTAAAAGGATGCTCTTTTTATCTGAATACTCTGTCAAATCCAAGATCTGAAGGTGCCGTTGAAGAAGGAAACTGAAGCCCTATTCAGCTGCTTGATAAGCATGTGCACTCCATATGTGAAGAGGAAAGGTTCTCTATGCAAGCCAGAATGTCAACAAATGAGGTTTCTAGGATTTTGTAACTGCACCAAGCAAATACAACAAGCTCTCCTCTTCAGACATTTCATTTTGACATGAGAAAGCGATGATGGGAGAGGGTTATCACACTCCCCTTCTCACAGGTGGCATACATATGCTTACTAAATACTTGATGTTTATATAGACAACATGGTGGCTACTGAAAACAGCAATCACATGCCCACTTTCCTTTTCTAGTATAAATTTTAGAAAATTAATGGTTTAATGTCATTAGGTCTTGTGTTTCTCCACCACCCTCCTTTAACTATATATCACTCAGTAATAAAGGGAATGCACAACTATTTATTTATGCATATAGTTATTTCCCACCATTTCCCGAATCCAGGACTCAATGCTGCTAACAAAGATTTTAAAATATATAGCTATAAAATTTGTATCATACAAAAATTAAAATTATGATTGTATGCCACCAAGTTCTATGGCATAATTTTGTCTTGCTAACAGCCATAACACAGCTGCTCTCTCAGACTTGTCTGGACATACAGTTGGTACAAAACATAGTGACTTGGTTGCTATGCTGATCAACCTTTTGAGCACAACTTGGAAACACTACTTTTCTTCTATGCCAACTCCCAGATCCCTCCCAGTGGCCATGCTGGCATTCTGGGTGCTATAGTCCCCCAAAACTAACTTTTTCAAAGGTCTGCTATATTCAACAAGTAACATGTTTGTGGGAAGAACTGTTCTCATTGCCCTATACACTACTGAGTCAAGTTTACCCTTCATGCAAAAGGAACCAAAACCATTCATTCAATGAATTGCTGTGTATTTTCTAAATCCATTAGAATTCCAATGTTGTGAGGATTAACAGTAGGAGATAGCCTTGGCATTGTAGTTAGGCTTAGAGTGGGAGGTAGTATTTAATGTACATTTTTTGAATTTTCAGAACCATTGAATATTCCATTCCCTCTCTCATGGGAAGGGGGATGTCATCTGCTGGTGAGCAAAATAGATCACATCTGCTTCTTGGGCTGACCATTTTTTATCCCAATATGTTACACTGGCTAAGACAAAGAAGTCTCCCAGTGAGGCAGGGCGGGGGGGAGGATGGACTTGTTGGGACATTTTGCTTTTGGTCCAGGATTGTTGTTTTTTGTTTGATTGATTTGCTTTGTTTCGTTTTTAGTCAACTGAACCTTTAAAGTGCTTGAAATGTAGGGATACTGTTTACAACCATTCAGGTGACAATGTTGTAGAATGCAGACCATCCAACTTCTCAATTTGGCAAGGACCTTCCTAATTAATCTGCTGTCATCCTACTTCTTCAGCTCATTTTAAAATGCCTCAGTTCAAAAGTAGTTTGCATTCAATTAACTTAGAAGAATGGAGAGGAGATGCAAACACAATGTATAGTAAAAATCTATTTGATACAACTTTTTAAAAAATAAACAGTTCTATTAAAAATACTGAATTGGAAGAGTTAAAAACATATGAAAATATAGTAAAAGATAAAAACCACAATATACCCCATTAAAAGCATCCTTCTGTCACAGCAACTGAAAAGGCAAAGACATGCCTAAATAGAAAGGTATTTGTCTACTGGCAGAAAAAAAGTAGCACCCCCAAAATAGAAACAAAAAGAACATCATTACAGATTTAGATAGAGAATGCTTAGAGATCAAAAATAACTTGAGGAAAATATACACTAAGTATCAGACAGGTCAAACCCTTCCTGAATCATACTATATTATTTTAAAACATCATACATTTTTAATTGCAAAAAGGAATAAAGAGATAATGCATAGGCAATGGTCAGCATTATTACAATAGTTCTGGTCTACTGCAACAGGTGCACTAAATTATTCTGACGGAGCACCCCAATGCAATATACCAGCACAAACAGCACAAATTATTTCTCTACTGTATACAGAGATTGTGAGGGATATACATCTTGATCCTCATATGGAAAAGCCCAAAATCTTATAAAACTTGAAAACATTCCACACTGGCCTCCTGTTACTGACCAGGAAATTAAATCCTTAATTTCTTCCCTGAAACCAGGTAAAGCTCTTGAGCCTGACCTAATCATCCCTGAACTATTAAAAGCAAATATTACTTGGTGGATTCCTTTACTGGCAACCCTCTTTACCCATATTAATAGAACGGTGCAGTTACCTAGTAGATGGTCTCAAGCAATAGTTATCCCGATTTACAAAAAGGGAGATAAAAATGACACTTCCAATTACCGTCCAATAAGTTTATTGTCCATGACTGGTAAATCATATGGCTGCTTCTTAAACAATCAACTAACAGATTGGGTGGAGGAGGAAAAAATCCTG